CATGGAATTGCCCTTTGTACTCACCAGGCTGGCACGCTGGTAGTGCCCCTCGGACTTGTCAAAGTCAATGGGGAAGTCATCTAGTGACCAGGTGAAGGTCAGGTCCATGGTGGGATCGTGGGACGCGTGACATTGTAGAGTGAGGTTTTCACCGACGTTGATATCGGCACTAGATGGTGCCAATGTGATCTTGGTGGCATCTGCAGAGGGAGAGCAGGGAGCTGTTAGCTGCAAATGTCCAGGTCCCAGATGTATATTAATGCTGCAGAGCATCCAACCCAACTAATGCTTTCCAACTTGTCATCTCTCTCTAACAGCTGGAGCTTTGTGGAAGGAAAATGAGGGATTACAGTCGTTAGAAAATGGAAATGGTTTCCTCAAGGACAGGTTGTTGTTGGTAGGTCAGTCAGAAGGTTTGCATTTATTTTGGGGAGTATTAAGAGAGGAGAAATAGCACATCATGGCATTCTTAGATGATTCTTGCTTGATTGACCCCAAATTAAGGCAAACACCTCTACCTCGAACAGAGAGGATTCCAGTGCTGTTGGCTTTGCCCATGAAGTTCTCAGCAAAGCAGGTGTACTTCCCCTCATCAGACTTGCTGATATTCTGGAGGATCAAGGTGCCATCTGTGGTAATAGTCACCCTGGATAGGAAGGAGAAGCATACAAGAGGAAGGTTGAAGTGTCTTTTTTCCCTCTGTCCACCCAACAATTCCCAGCGCTTGCTGATTTTAGAGAAACTGGTGATAAAGACAGGGCTGCAAAATGGTAAGTAGGAGTTTTCTAAGGAAGAAACTAGAGGAATAACAAAGTGCTTCTGTTCAGGGATGCAGCAGCACACTTGGCTCATCAAGTCCAGTCTTCTGGCAAGGAAAGAAAAAAAGTGATTTTAGGTATGGTTTCTAGGTAGAAGCTGACTCTGTGCTGCTACCTGCTATTGTTGGTCAGGAGCTCAGTCCCTTTGGTCCAGAGCACAGTGGCTTTTGGTGCTGCCCTTGGTTGGCATGGGATGATGACCTTCCCACTTCGAGCTGCAGGAATCAGTCGCTTCACTGGGTTTAGTCTAAAATCTGGTGCTAAGGCTATAGGGGGGAAAAAAGAGAGGATTAAGCAATTATTAGAAAACCCTGCTGCAGGAGCATTTTTATCTGCCACCTAACTGGGTATTGATTTGTTGTTAGATGACTTGGTAACAGAAGCATGGCAATATCTGGTGAGCAGGATGGAGGGGTTCCTCTGCTGCCAGGGGGGTTTCCAACCCCTGCCAAGGCAGGTGTTACGTGACACACGTCGTATGGAGCAATGGGATGTGACCCTAACAAGTGCAAGGTCTTTGAGAGACACAAGAACAGCTGCTTTTGAAAATGTAGAGGATGTTCTCTTCGATATCCTGATCAAAGCTGCCAATGCAGACATCCAGCTTGCTGAAAACTCCTCCTGGAATTGCGGAGACAGGATTGGGTTTTATCTTTGCCCTCATGTTGCAGCATGTTAATGCTGAGCAGTTAATGCTTGGGGCCTTTAATTTATCTCTGGTATCTCCTGACCATGAGGAGATAAGCTTTTAGACTAATGTGGAACAAGTCTGGCATCATTCCAGTCCCAGTCACCATCCCTCAAAGCAGGCTGGTTGGAGATTAAACTCATTTATTTTACACTTTCCTCCAAAACAGAGGAGATAAGCTGTGCAGTGAGAGAGAGCTGCTGCTGCTGCCTGTCCTGTACACTTTCTGTACCTGAACAGATGTCCTTGTTCTCTTTCAACATTACTGAATTTACCCCAGATTTCAAGTAGGAGTTTTCTAAGGAAGAAACTAGAGGAATAACAAAGTGCTTCTGTTCAGGGATGCAGCAGCACACTTGGCTCATCAAGTCCAGTCTTCTGGCAAGGAAAGAAAAAAAAGTGATTTTAGGTATGGTTTCTAGGTAGAAGCTGACTCTGTGCTGCTACCTGCTATTGTTGGTCAGGAGCTCAGTCCCTTTGGTCCAGAGCACAGTGGCTTTTGGTGCTGCCCTTGGTTGGCATGGGATGATGACCTTCCCACTTCGAGCTGCAGGAATCAGTCGCTTCACTGGGTTTAGTCTAAAATCTGGTGCTAAGGCTATAGGGGGGAAAAAAGAGAGGATTAAGCAATTATTAGAAAACCCTGCTGCAGGAGCATTTTTATCTGCCACCTAACTGGGTATTGATTTGTTGTTAGATGACTTGGTAACAGAAGCATGGCAATATCTGGTGAGCAGGATGGAGGGGTTCCTCTGCTGCCAGGGGGGTTTCCAACCCCTGCCAAGGCAGGTGTTACGTGACACACGTCGTATGGAGCAATGGGATGTGACCCTAACAAGTGCAAGGTCTTTGAGAGACACAAGAACAGCTGCTTTTGAAAATGTAGAGGATGTTCTCTTCGATATCCTGATCAAAGCTGCCAATGCAGACATCCAGCTTGCTGAAAACTCCTCCTGGAATTGCGGAGACAGGATTGGGTTTTATCTTTGCCCTCATGTTGCAGCATGTTAATGCTGAGCAGTTAATGCTTGAGGCCTTTAATTTATCTCTGGTATCTCCTGACCATGAGGAGATAAGCTTTTAGACTAATGTGGAACAAGTCTGGCATCATTCCAGTCCCAGTCACCATCCCTCAAAGCAGGCTGGTTGGAGATTAAACTCATTTATTTTACACTTTCCTCCAAAACAGAGGAGATAAGCTGTGCAGTGAGAGAGAGCTGCTGCTGCTGCCTGTCCTGTACACTTTCTGTACCTGAACAGATGTCCTTGTTCTCTTTCAACATTACTGAATTTACCCAAGATTTCAATTTTAAAGGGTTGTAGTGTCTTGTTGAACCAGTAACTATATTTCAATGGTGAGTGAAGCAGTTTTTGTCTGCTCTTGTCTTACTCTGAGATTGCAAACAGAGGATGTTAGGAAGAGATCTAAAATGCTTCAGTGTCCCATTGAAAGGCAGAGCACTGGGAAATGAGAGATTACCTTGCACTGTTAATTCAGCACTTGCATAAACTGTGCCATGCTTGTTCTCAGCCACACACTGATACATGCCAGAGTCCTCCAGGACTAGCTTGGAAAATCTCAGCTCTCCACCGCTCACTTCGATGCGGTTCTGTGCAAACAAGAGGATGAACCCATTAGATGAGAAAAAGTACAATGGAACTCAAGCCTGGTGTGTGCAGGGTTGAGTTCCATTACAGACTCTTGGTCAGTTTGAAGCTAGCCTGGTTTTCTATGGGAGAAAACACAGGGCATTTTTTTCCTGGGTGTCCAGTCACTACCCCACATCACTGTGCTCTGTTTGCTGAGACTTCTGAGGGCCCGAGCAGCAACGTGCAGGTCACACAAAGACAGTTAGAAGGTGCTGTTTGTCTGCCCTGACAACTGGCTGCGGGTTCCTGTGGTTGCATGAAGCAGTGGCTGGGATGGCAGTGACAGGGGAAGGGACTTGCTGCGGGTCAGGACTGTGGCATTGCTCTGCAGCCTCATGGGGGGCACATGGAACAGGGATGCGGGGTGATAAGAGAGGGTTGAGATGCTTTTGCAGCGAGGCAGAAGAAGGGGTCTGGCTGTGGAGCAGCGGGTTGAGGCCTGCAGGTTGTGCTGTGCCCTGGGCTGGGCTGCTCTGGCTGTCAGAGCTGGGCTGGGTACCTGGGAGCTGAGGGGCTGCCCGTCCCGCAGCCACCGCACGCTGGGGCGCGGTTTGCCCGCGGCCGCGCAGCTCCAGCGCAGCGCGGAGCCGATGTCAGCCTCCGTGTCCGTGATCACCTCCAGCCACTCGGGCTGAGCTGCACAGG